AAAGAGTGAATAATAATGACTAAGAGGTTTTATACAATAAATTTTACATATGACTTGCCTAATACAAAGTATAGGGTGTAGAATATTATGATAGGAGATGTTATTTCTCTTTTCTTCTTCCAAATACCCTAAAGGTATTTCTGGACTCTAAGATTAAATTTTAGTTCTCCACTCTCACCAGCTTATCAAAATTTCATGTGTTTTCCTTGATATTTTTTACAATTTCTCTTCTCTCCGTTTTTGTTTTAATTTTTAGAGTTATTTAATATACCTAAAGAAAAATACCTCTGATCCAAAAAGAGTAATAATTGTTGATACCTCATAAAGTTGTTGGCAGAATTAAATGAGACAATACATAGAATATTATTGGAATATGTCTGCAATATAGTCATTGCTGAAAATCTTCATCTTCTGCTCTCCTATTACTATTTCTCATTATTACCATAATTAATATTATTAGTATAATAATTTGAATACATATGACTTTCTAACATTTTCAAATATTTAAGTGGATATTTATATTTTTCCAACCCACTAGTGATTGTGGTTTTTTGATTTCACAGAAATGAAAAATAGAATTGAATTTCCTAAAAACATTCATTTCTATTACCTGGTAAGAATGAAATGTTCCGAAGTCCGTATCTATCCTGACACTCTCTTCATCAAGCTAAATGCCCTATGTCTCTTCCAAAACAGACCACTCCTATTCAAAATCATAATCATTAACCAGGATTTTTCACTTCGTCCAAATACATGTGAATAAAACATTTTAACGTTCAGAAAATTAAACAGAGATATTCAGCTTTATCAAATTTATTGAATGCAATGTGGGAAAAATTTTAATATGAAAATGGAAAAAAAACCCCGTATATAATTAGACTGAAGCAAAGAGACTTTTGAGAGAGTATGCATAATAGAAAGCATTAACAAAAGCTTTATTCTTTTAACATTCTTTCATTTACTAGAGAAAAACATAACCTTTTGGATGGTGTCCTTAAAGGCTTGCTTTACTTGTTGGTTTCGCAGGGTGTATATAAATGGATTCATCATAGGAGCAACAGAAGTATTGAGAATAGCTACTCGTTTGGTCAAGGATGCTTTTTCTTTTGCAGAGGGATTAGCATACATGAATATGCAGCTTCCATAAGAAATGGAAATGACAATCATGTGAGAGGAACATGTAGAAAATGCCTTTTTTCTCTGACTAGCAGAAGGAAGTTTCAAAATTGTCCTAATGATGAACATGTAGGATAGAATGATTAATGCCAAAGTGAAAAGCAGAATCACTACTGCAGAGTAAAAGCCAATCACTTCTAGGAGCCATGTGTCTGAGCAGGATAATTGTAATAGGGGGAAGTAGTCACAGGCAAAGTGATCAATGACATTGGAGCCACAGTAATCTAACTGGAGAAAAAGAATAACCGGTGGGAAGATATTTAAGAATCCTGCCAACCAAGCACAAAAGATAAGCAATATGCAGACTCTCTTGTTCATGATGGTTGTGTAGTGCAGGGGTTTGCAGATGGCTACGTAACGATCGTAGGACATAGCAGTTAGAAGGTAAAATTCGGTTATACCCATGAAGATGAAGAAAAACAACTGAGCTGTGCAATTATTGTAGAAAATAGTTTTGTCCCTGGCGATAATTGTGCCCAGAAATCTAGGGATACAGACAGTTGTAAAGGTTACTTC